CAAGACCATCAATGGCAGCAGCAAGAGAAGAGGCAGAGCAGGTGATGTTTGGTGCACTGGATATTTTATTTGCAAACACTAATATCAAGCCTAAAGATATTGGTGTTCTTGTTGTAAATTGTAGTTTGTTTAATCCTACACCATCATTGTCTGCAATGATTGTTAACAAGTACAAATTGAGAGGGAATATTAGGACCTTTAATCTTGGGGGTATGGGGTGTAGTGCTGGGGTTATTGCTGTGGACCTTGCTAAAGATATGTTGCAAATCCATAGGAATACTTATGCTGTTGTTGTGAGTACTGAGAACATCACACAGAATTGGTATTTTGGGAACAAGAAGTCAATGCTGATACCTAATTGCTTGTTTAGAGTCGGGGGTTCTGCTGTTTTATTGTCGAATAAAGCTAAGGACAGGAGAAGAGCAAAGTATAAGCTTGTTCATGTGGTTAGAACCCATAAAGGAGCTGATGATAAGGCGTTCAAGTGTGTTTATCAGGAGCAGGATGATGCTGGGAAAACAGGGGTTTCTTTGTCAAAAGATCTCATGGCAATTGCTGGTGGTGCACTTAAGACTAATATTACAACCTTGGGTCCTTTGGTTCTTCCCATTAGTGAGCAACTTTTGTTCTTCTCAACTTTAGTTGCTAAGAAATTGTTCAATGCAAAAGTGAAGCCGTATATCCCAGATTTTAAGCTTGCCTTCGATCATTTCTGTATTCATGCTGGAGGGAGAGCCGTGATTGATGAGCTTGAGAAGAATCTGCAGCTTTTGCCTATTCACGTTGAAGCTTCCAGGATGACTCTGCATCGGTTCGGCAACACTTCATCAAGCTCAATTTGGTACGAGCTGGCTTACACCGAGGCAAAGGGAAGAGTGCGGAGGGGGGACCGGGTGTGGCAGATTGCTTTTGGCAGTGGTTTCAAGTGCAACAGTGCAGTTTGGGAGGCTCTGAGGTATGTTAAGCCATCTACTAGTAATCCATGGGAGGATTGCATTGACAAGTATCCAGTGCAGATAGTCATGTAGCTTGCTACAATATGGTTACAGATGATTAATTTGGAGAAGTGTCCTTGATAGACTGGGCAATTACTCTGCTATCTTTTTTTCCTTTGTTAATTTATCGGGTTAGTTCATGTGTGATTTGGTTTTGAGAGTCATAGTGTCTCTCCTATTTGCTCTAGTATCTTGGGTTATATTAATGCCGAACCTCTTCTCTAGTGTCACTATACTTTACTGCTCTGATGGATTTTATTGTGAATGTATTCAAATCATTATGAAGTCTTTAGTTTTCTTAAAGGTATATAAAATCCATGTTTAGACGAACTTGTTCATTTAGTTTTTTCTTCTTCCTTGTTCTTAGAATTTAAGATCCACGTATAGAAGAAATTGTAGCTTTCAACATAATTTAAAGACACCAGTTCATTATTGTCAAGGAATTTGTCAAAAATGAATATAAATCTCTCTGTTCATTGGATCGAATTTTTAGTTTGATTTTTAAGCACAAGAAGTTGAGGGAACATACATGGAGTCTCAGTTTTTGCTCATGGTCTCCCAATGCTTCCTTGCTCTCAGAATTTCTTGTCCATCTTTGAGCAAATCTTACTGCCACAAGGCAGTTCAAGTCTTTGTAATGTTGCATAGCTTGATAGACTTTCTGGATTTGAATTCTGTGTCGTCGGTGAAGATCATGAAATGAGATTTAGTTTCATCCAAGTACTGATTGCTTTGTGAGGTATTTTTTCTCTTGTGCTTGTTTCATGTCCCCTTTTATCATTACAAAAGGAAATTCCCAACTTAAATATAATTTTGTGAGGTACCATACTTTCTCATGCTGTTGGTTTTAGCTTTAAACTGGACGAGATGGCTATTTGTTTTCCCATCACCAATGAGTTTTGATCTAGATCTCCCTTTCTTTCATTATCGATCAGGATTTTCACAGGGTGAATGATCTGTGGAAGTCTTCATTGTGGCTAATTTGTAGATTCGTAGTACAGAACTATGCATGAAACTTGAGCTACAAACGAGGTAACGCTTGCGATTGCGAAATTTCCAAGCTATTTCTCAAGAATGATGATTGACATAAAGCATCTGTGTCTGATTCTGTTTTTGTAGACATTTCACAGTCTTGGACACATTTTCCAAGGTTGGATATAGATCGATGAACGTGCCTTGCGCATTAACTTTTGGACTTTCCTAGCTTGCTTGATTCCTAGCTTTCCCAGAAATCTTCGATCATAAGTGTAGCTGTGATTGGTGACATTTTAACATCATTTCTAAGTGGAAATTACAGAAAGCAACGGCAGGTTTCATCAGTACCCAGGACTGAGACAGTGAGTTTTTTTTTTTTTTTATTAATATAAACGTTTTAGCTTGATTAACTCTATAAATCTTAAAGTTAATAATTATATAAATATTTAATAATACTAAAAATATTTAAATTCAAATCCACTTATCATAAATTCAAAACTTATCCGCTTAAGCAACCTCTTCAAATTAAATAGAGACTATTATCTAGATTGACCAAGTTAGTTAAACCTAGCCGTTGCTATTATCTTATAATATAGGGGGGCTGATGCCCCACTTTACATTATTAATATCCCACCCAGAAGTCTTGAAATGTGGAACTGGTTTATGATTTGTTCACGAGTCAGGTCATGTGAAGACTAATATGTTGCAATACGATGGCGTTGCTGACAAATGTCAACAATAGATGATTTTTCAAGGTTGATTGGAAGTGAAGAGCTTGTAAGGCCGTGTTTAGTAAGATAGAAAATATTAGGGTTAGAAGAGAAGATGAAGTTATCTGGTAAAGAAGATTCTCTTTCACCTTGAGGTTCAAGGTAATCATCCATATGCCTTGAATCTATGCAAAATGTGATGTGTAAGTAGGATGATAAATGTGCTTGCCATCTTTTATTTTGGATAATTTAGGAAAAATATTCCAAGCTCAATGTGCTTGCCAACTATCTGCTACTTTAGAATAAATATTCCAAATTATATATATAATTTTTTTAAAATCAGTGTAAGATTAGAATCTGAAATGAAAAGAAAACAAGAAACAAGATTATTCAGTGTTCGCTTTAGCTTGGATCAACCGATCGCCGACCTAAGCTTAAAAAGCTTAGTAGTTAGCTGAAATCCAATCTTCTCAGTGACATTTTATCAAACAGGTAGCTTGCACCAAACATCATCCTGCCTTTAATACTCAAGGAGTTTATTGGGCCTATGGAGAGTTTAGGCCCAACAATTCTAAGCATGATCACAACCCTAAAAACACATGAACTTGAATCATTTTTTTGTCCTGCTTCCGTTCTTTGATTGCTGAATTGAAATCACGGTTGAAAAAGTACATACCTTGTTCTGTATAAGGCCCATATTTGCCACCTTCGATTTCTGGGTTCTTGGATTCGGTACTGCCCTTCCTAATAAAGTTCGCCCATATTTGCCACCTTCGATTTCTGGGTAATAAAGTTAGTCACAAGCCAAATTCCATTCATTTAAAAATCAGGTGCGGCAGCTTTGGAGTGTTTTGCCACGTTAGTACAGTTGAGCAAATTTATTTTTCAACTAATATAGTTGTTGGGCTTATTCCAGCACAAAAAAAAAATAGTTGTTACACGTAATGAATGCATGATTTAATACATGTGCGCCCCAACTCATCTCGCATATAGTAAATACACAATAAATAATGATGTATATGGTACATCCACCATCTATATTTATTTATTTGTTTGTTTATTTGTTTTTGTATTTTAAAGATATTTAAAAAAATAAAAAAATTTATTTTTCTTGTTCCTCTAAATTAATATATTTTTGATATTTTTATATTATTTTAATATATTCATCTTAAAATTATTTTTTAAAAAATAAAAATTTAGCAACAGTTAAAGCTAAACCTAAGAAACAACGCAGCTTCGGCTGGCATCCCTGCCAAGTTGCTCCGTCAGGGGTGGAGGTCACGTGCGGCGGCATTGGATGTGATGAATACTCCGTGTGTGGCCAGGATTATTTGATGGTCCGGAAATACGCAACATTTATAGCTACTAAGGGGAGGACCACTCATTGCTACTTTAATGCTTTTAATACATTATTTAATGCTTTAATTTTATAAATTTATTTCTCTTTTTAATTCTTTAATTACATTATTTACTACTTTATTTACCACCTTTTTTAATGTAAAATCTATTTTCTTAGGATTCTCTCTCCTAGTAGGCTTTTGCAGCTTATTAATTCTCTTTAATCGAAAAGCCTAACTAATCTCTTAATGATGTACTGTTTTTCTTAAAACTCTATATTTGAGCTACTGTTCTTCTTAATCTAATATATTTTTTAATGATCTTCTTAGATTTAATTTATTTTTTTATGCTATTTTTTTAGAATATATTTGATATTGTGGTAATTGTTATGGTTGTGGTTTAAATAAATTATTTTATAAAAAAATATTTTTAATTAAGGTTGGTTTGAAAAAATAAATATTTGGTTAAAACTATAGTTGAAATTGAACAAAAAGTAGTTTGATGTGTTTGGTTAAAAATGCTTTTGAAATTAAAATTATAAAATAATTTTAAAATATATATTAATATTAATGATTTTTAATTTAAATGTTATAGATTTAACTATTACTATTACTTCATAAAATAAACAATATTTTATATAAAATATTTTTTATTATTCCATTAAACCATTTACAATTCAATTACATACAAAATTTATTCGACAAGAACTACAGTTTCTATAATTTTTTGAGCGTACAATAAAATTAGATAAAATATTATCATAAATAAAATTGATTTGATATTACATTGTTAGTGAATTTAATTCACTTTACACTAGTTTTTTAGAAAAAAATATTATTTTCATGATAATATGAGTAAATTTAATTTATTCTAAACTAATTTTTTTAAAAAAATATATACAAAAAATAGCATACTAAACAAAATTGTTTACATAAATAATGTATATAAATTGTACTGTTCACATAAATAACACAAATAGTACAAATGAATAACACTGTGTATATAAATGCTAAATTTCAAAAAATAAACAGGAGCTATTTCGCTAAATTCACGTGCAAGAATTGACATGGGTTTTATCAAAATTAAATTGTATTTTTAAAATAACCAAACATAATATTTAGTATTTAGTGTAGTTGCTTCAAGCATAAAAATAAAAACATAATCACGTGAATAAATAGGCTTTTAAACAAATTCTTTATAAAGTAATATCCACGTTGATGCATTAGCTGAAGGAGACATGTCATGCATATGTTACATTTTCTATCTGTTTTTCTTTTGTTATCAACATATAAAGTAATATGAAGAGTACTATTAATTTTATTTTAAAAAATTTATTTTTAACATTAATAAATCAAAACAATCTAAAAATATTAAAAAAATTATTTTAAAATAAAAAAATCAAATCTTAACAAAAAAAAAAAAGAGGTTCAATTCCAATACCAAACAGTTACTTGGAGATCATTGTTTCTTTTTTCTTTTTAATTATTATTTCAAATTCAAATGAAAAGCATTAGTATTAATTAATTTATATAAAATTCAATTAAATTCTAAATTCAGTTTTTAACACGAAAGCAAGATTTGGTGTCAGATATCCTATCATGATCACAGGAACAATTGAAAGCGTGTCTCTGTGATGAATGGACGTATCAATACGAACAAACTAGCATTGACCTTTATTTTTAATAAAATGATGGTGATAACTTTCCTTTTTAAATATATAGAGATTTGATGCCATGGATATTTAGTTCCATTTTGGGCCCACATGAAGATTTGGAGGAGATTCTCTATAAAATAGCTGCCGTCCATGAGCCACGATGCATATAAATTAAACTGCTCGAAAAGAAAAAAATAATCCTCAATCGTCAAAGCTAATAATGTCAGGATGTTGTAATTTAACTCAACTTCAAATCTGCTCGTTTGCTCAGTAGATGGGTGAAAAGAAATTAAAAATACAGCCTCAACTAGTTGCCAACAACTTGGCATATATTATCCGTAAGAAATATTCCGGGTATGAAAATAAAATTAATTAGTTTGAAGAATTAAAAATACTGGTTTTAAAATATTTATTTGTTTCATATAAAAATAATATTTTTAAAATACAACTAAATGTACCCTTTAAACCTCTAAAAAAATAATAAATAAATAAATAAATAAATAATTTTTATGTATTTTTTTGTATAATAATATGTTTATATAACTATTAATAAAATATTTATATTTTAAATTAAACTGAAAGATTACTATTAAATTTTATCTCAATAATAAAAGAAATCAAAATTAATTATGAAAACTAAAAGAAATTAAGTTAATAAAAAATTAATCTCACTAAAAAATTAAATTTTAAACATCATTTTTAATATTATAAATATTCATATAATAGTATCAGAAATGCTATTTCACTTGATTTATTTAATTTAGAATGGAGTTTTTTTGTTTCTATACAAGATAAAAATATCATCCTTCTTTCTTTCTTCACTTCCAAACTCCATTATATGAATCATCCATCATACATAATAATTTAAAGGCTAAACGCTCGTTAACCTCTCCAAGCAAGCGTGAATACCAGACTTAAATCATAACGATTTATTACATTTACAAAAGCATTTTAAATTTTTGTAAAAAAGGGGACTCCCCTGCATTGCTGCGACCCTCCTGAGAAAAAAACAGAAGGAAAAAGAAAATTCGACCGAAAAGGAAGTCGTTGACTTTGTGAGTTCGACTGTAGAATTTTCTAAAGTTGTTCAGTAAATAATCAACGGTGGAGGAAAACAGCTGGCACGTTCTGTAGTTAAGTAAGAAAATGGGGAGAAAGGCGACAGACCAGCGAGTAACAATCGAACTTTCTACTAGTTCCTTACCTAAAAGGCAATAACTATAACTAACACCTTAAAATTTATAAAAGAGCCTAGATTTCTAGAGAGAGAGCTGGGGAGATGGTGAACACTCTGTCACTGTACAAGCCCTTGTTGCATGGCCTGATGAAGGTAGCTGGGATGAGACGCCGAGTAGTAGAGATCGAATCAGGGACAGTCATCAATTTCTGGGTCCCGAGTAATGAGGCCACTGCCAAGAGAAAATCTGCAGTGGTGTTTCTCCATGGTTTGGGTTTCGATGGGATTCTGACATGGCAATTTCAGGTGTTAGCTTTGGCGAACAAGTATGCAGTTTACGTTCCGGATTTTCTCTTTTTTGGAGATTCAATCACTGATAAATCAGAACGGTCACCGGATTTTCAAGCAGAATGCATGGCTAAGGGTCTGAGGAAACTTGGCGTGGAGAAGTGCACCTTGGTTGGATTGAGCTATGGAGGGATGGTTGGGTTCAAGATGGCTGAGATGTACCCTAATTTGGTTGATTCAATGGTGATAACTTGTTCAGTTATGTCCTTGACTAAGTCCATCTCTCGTGCTGGCCTACAAAGAATCGGCTTCTCATCATGGGCAGAATACTTGATTCCTGAAACTGTCAAGGGTGTGAAGACATTGTTGGACGTTGCTTTCTACAAGTTGCCATGGATGCCTAATTTTATCTACAAAGATATTTTGGAGGTAAGCTTCGTTGGCTAAGTTGTCATATACACTGATGAAGTTTTAAAATTTATTGTCCTTATGAATAAAGTTATTCGGTGTTTTAACCCTGATTAATTATATGTTTAGGTTAATATTTTTTTAAAAAAAATTTAGAATATATATACACACACGTAATTATGTAAAAATTCTAATACCTTCAAAACAATCACAATTTAATAGAGTTTAGGAATTCTTTAATGATTAAGGCATTTGCTGACTTTACATAAAATATTATAATAAATAAAAAAAGATTTTAAATTTTAAAAATAAAAATATTTGTTTTTATTTTGGTATAATAAATGTTTTAAAAATTAAAATATAAATATTTAAAAAAAATTATAAACTTTCTATTTAGGTGATTCAAGAAATATTTATAATTTTTAAATTTTATCATTTAATATAGTGAAAAGAGATGCTCAAAAGTTATTTTTTTTATAACATTAATAAATGATAAAAATATTTTACACATAATTAATAAAAAATAAATATTTTTTAAATATTATTAATGAGATGAAAATATAATATATAATATATATATATATATATATATTATAAGATATTTAGTACTAACATGAATAGTTTATATTAAAAATCTTAAAAATAAATAAATAGAATTTTATTATTTTAGAATTTATAACAACCCTCAAATTAATAGAACATGCCGCGTAGCTAATTAGTTCATAGGAGGTGGTTTTAGCAACTTGTTAAACTTATTTTTACTTGGATTTAGTATATAGATAAAATTAATAATATTAAATTTAATAATTTACTAGATTTATATTCACTTAAACTGAATATATGATTAAATTCAAGCATGTTAGATTTAATAATTTATTAAATTTAAATTTATTTATGCATGATACATAATCAAACTTAAATATATTAGATTTAATGCACGATACACCCATCTATTAGTGAGCTACCACTTTATTATCTTATTACTAGACCTTTTTAGACTAGGTTTTAATGTTTTTAACTAAACATAAAAAATATTGATTTATCGTATATCATGATGTTTGTATATATATCAAGACAACAAACCTCACTGTTTTACATTTATACAATTAGAAATACTTGAAAGTGAAATTTAAGCTCGTTTAATTGATTTTTGCAAATTATAACATTTTGAAATTGGTGGCAGGACATGTACTTCGACCACAGGAAGGAGAGGCAAGAACTTTTGGAGGAGTTAATTGTAGAAGACAAAAACTTCACTGCTCCTCATTTTACACAGGTCATAAAGGAATTAACATTAAGATTATTATTGCTCCACTTAATGGGACTTAACCTGGAACCAGTGGCATGCAATGGCCATAGACAGGATTGAAGATGCTATTTATTTATGTGATAAAGAAGATGCTCTTTCTTTTTGTCACATACTTTCACACGTTTAAATGAGACGGTCAAAATTGATTATTGTCGAAGAAATTATCAAAAGTTCGGTTGCCCTTCATTATTTATATTTATTTCCAATTTGGGTCAAAGGTGTAATTAACTAGCACGAGAAATCTCATCTTTTTTTATGATTTCAATTGCAGAGGATACATCTTTTGTGGGGAGGGGATGACATAATTTTCGACATGACAGAATGTCGCAACCTGATAGAGTATGTCCAGTCCTCCACTGGTTCAATTTAGTTGGTGTTTGCCAAAAATGCATTACATTTGACGTAATTAATTAAGAATTATATGAATGTTTCCTATGCAAGAAATAGATTTAATTAGTCATATTTGTTATATATAATGGGAATTGAAACTTTGACTGGCAGCCTTCTACAAGGCAAAGCAACATTGCATTGCATAGAGAGGGCAGGTCACTTGGCGGAATTGGAGCGACCCTTCGTCTACAATAGGCAGCTCAAGAAAATTCTTGCTTCTTTGTATGAAGACGGGAGGGAAAATTAGTGGAACTCTCCTCTGTCAAATTTTGACAGTTGTTGTTTGTATTAGTTTGACTTCAGCATAATCATAAAAAAAAATTATGTTCAATAAAGTTGCAATGTGAGTTATCATACATCAATTAAGTTTTTATCGATATATTTTTATCAAAAAAACATTAAATTAAAAAAGATTTATAGGTATACTAAAAAAAAAACCATCTAAAATAATATGGGTCTAACAAATAAATAAGATTCAAGTACTAGGATTTGAAAATTAATCAAGTTCAAGATAATATGGTTCTCATTAGTACTTAAAAGTGTATTTTTATCAAGATTTTATATTATTATTTTGCACTTGAAGTATCAATAACTTCTTAACTAAAACATGTTTTATAATAACATATCTAATAATATAAGATACTTTTAATTTATAGTAAATATTTATTTTAAATGCAAGCTTATCACATAAATGAAAAGATTGATTAATGAGTTTAAGAACTGAAATTGAAAGGACAAAGAGATGGTCAAACTTAGAAAAGAGATATTGGTGCAGTCCAAAGTCCATATCAGAACATTGTTCAGTAATTGGGTCATAGCTGAAGCTGTAGATCTCGGATTTAGGTCTATTTTATATGCATGGAAATGTAAGACATAGGTCTATAGCTTTCATGGGAGCCCAAGTGTTAAAGTAATAAATAACCCGGCAAGACCTGGATCGAACCACAAGGAGGTTAATTGTATAAATTATAAACAACAACAACAACAACAACAATAACAATAATAAAGAAAAAGAAAAGAAGAAGAAGAAGAAGAAGTTGATGAGAACTTCGAGATGGAAGATCAATGTAAGGATTAGACAATGATAACAACAAATGTCAAGGTTAGAGGATTCACCAATGGTATGTCAAACAAGTATAGTATAAACTCTTACTACTCAATTGGAAAGCATATACAAAGGAGGTTCCAATCAGATTATAAATTGTTAACATAATTACATTAGTTATCTTATTCGAATAATGCTAATACTTGTAAATGTTGTCAAACATTCATGATTATAACTTATGTTAACAATAAATCAAGTTCTTTTCATAGCTCAAGTGTTGATTATGCCATATAATATGGGCTATGAAAGTATAAAACATTTGTTGTACCAAGTGTTATACAACATAAATCTAGATTAGTCATTTAACAAGCAAAGTATTAAAGAGTAAACAAGATGACAAATACAAAACATGTTAGTATCAAATATTAAAGTTCATGTTAAGTTTACACTATACTTATTCTTACACCATTAATGTAACCTCTTCACTTTGACATAATATACTTAACTAAAAATAATGAAAAAAGAAAAATAAATAAACAAAATAAGAACATAAATAAGATAAAAGTTAACTAAGTAAAAGAAAGGAAATGAAAGGCATAAACTTAATATTAATGAAAGCAAAGCATAAACATTACAAAAAATACAAAGAGAGAAAGCAAGAGATGATGTTGATCTGGACATCAAGATGCCTAAATGCATGGCAAATACCTCCTTTTATAGGCCAAAATTGGGAACTATTGAAATGATGACTAATTGATGACTGGGTGGCCAACTTTTGACTTGGTGACAATCCTTATCTTCTCTTGTCTGCCCAAAACGTCATTGATAACGTCAAAACTGGAGCCAGGTGCAAACATGAAAGTTGTAGGCAATTATCTCAGATATCTTGTGTAAAACATTCAGCTCATTTGGACTTCTAGAACTCCAGATATGGCCAAAATACCGAACAGTGCTCGGGCTGGAAGACAGATTCGGGCTTCTTTGTTGTTGCTACAAGTTGGACTTGATAATGGCCTTTTTAGATCTTAGGCTCCATATGAAAGTTGTAGGCCTATGTCTTACCTTTCCATCCATATAAATTGGACCTAAATCTGAGATATATAGCTCTAGATATGACCCAATTACCGAACAGTATCCCGGTTTGGATTGCACCGACATCTCTTTTCTAAGTTTAGCCATCTCTTTATCCTTGCAATTTAAGTTCTTCAAGTCATCAATCAATCCTTTCATTTATGTGATAGGCCTGCATTAAAAATAGACATTTACCACAAATTAAAGGTATCTTATATTATTAGATATATTATTATAAAACATATTTTAGTTAAGGAGTTATTGATACTTCAAGTGCAAAATGATGATATAAAACCTTGATAAAAATATACTTTTAAGTACTAATTACACCCTCTAAGCAGCTTATTACAAGTCCCTAGTAATCAAAGCGTTAAAATAGAAAAATAATTTGCAAATTCCACAAAGCAATGTATTCATCATTCAACTTCCATTAATCTATTCGGATAAACAAACTCTCATTAAATTTATATATCTGCTCAATACCTTTTAAACAAGATATTAACAAATCTTCTTTTTGTGCTCAATATATCAACACATAGTTATATGACGTTACGTGAAAGAAAACAAAATTTTTGTTCTAATGGTTAAGGTTAACTTCCTTGGGTTGGGATTACTATTTTTATCTTCTCTTTTTTTTTATCTCTTTTTTTTTTTAACTCTATATACATATACTTTAAAAACATCATGCATCTTTAACCCATGTAACGAGCTTTCAACTAATGACTCCCAAACCAGTTGGTCTTAGGGCATTAGGTGTTAAGACACCCCTACGAGCTTAGTAACTCGGGTCGCAGATACTGATATGTAGATAGTGCAATGTTTGATTCCCTTAAGCTTTTCTCCTCAACCCATGTAACAAGTGTTGGGCCAATAGCTCCCAAGTCAATTGACTTTAGGGTATTAGGTGTTAAAACACCCTTTCGGGCTTAATTGCTTAGGTTAGGGATGTTATAAAACCAAACTTATCTACACTTTTATTATTATCATTTTTATTTTATTTTTTGCTCCTTTTTTTGTTTTGTTTTCTTTCAAATTATATACTATCCCTTTCCCTTAGTTGTTACCTTTAACAAAAGAACATAAATAATGTAATAATCCAATATGCAACCCACAATCATATGTTAAAGTGTGTGTGTGTAAATTAAGGTTTAAAAAATACATGTTAAATAAGTATATGAGCAGAATTAAGTGGTAACAATACGAGAGTTTGTAAACCTGAATATTTCAGGAAGTATTATAATAGACCTTGTTAAGAATGGTTACTAAGATGCGTCTCAAGAGTCACTTTAACAAAAGAACTCCTTTACTCTGCCATCCTAGTAACAACAATTATGCACATGCTTTATGAAATGAAAAACAATTTTTTTTTATCAACTACTACCCTCTCCCCCCAACCAAAACGAGACATTGTCCTCAATGTTCTAAGGTAGAAAGATAGAGTATAAAAGATATCACCTGAAATAACGAACACTGACAAAACCTGAAACACACTGAAACAAAAATAAGAAATAACAAAACATAATAATAAAACCAAAAGACACAAAAATTCACAAATGAAGGCTCAAATCCAATCTAAGCTTTTTACGGCTTCCCGTAGATGACCTTTTCTTAGATGACCAATTTATACGACTCATGGAGGGATCAATTATAGGAATGAAATATTTTAGTTGGTCAATTAATTGTTCAAGAATAGCAGCAGAGATTATGATTTATCATGCAGAAGATGTTAGAAATTCCTGTTCCACAGCATGATCAAGAAAAGACAACAACTTATCATAATAACCATTAACATTTAACAAACCTATGGGTTTATGGTGAATGTGCAATTGAGCCCAAGAGGAAATATGAAAGATCTCTTCCAATGTGCCTAGACCACCTGGTAAAGCAATGAAAGCATCAGCATGGTTAAACATTGCATTCATTCGAGCCGACATTGTGGAGACCTGAAGTTCCTCTCCAATTGTTTTTCCAATGATGTCCCCTTGTGCCAAAGCTTCAGGGACGACCCCCAAAACTTGACTACCTCCTAAAAATGCAGCTATTGACACACCTCCCATTAACCCAAGAAAATGTACTTTTAAGTACTAATCATTAGCAGTGCATTGACTATAGGAAACTTAATTCAATGACTAGAAAAGATCATTTTCCTTTACCTTTCATGGATCAAATCCTAGAAAGAGTTGCAGGTCATGAATTTTATTGTTTCCTAGATGGCTATTCGGGTTACAACCAAATTGAAATTGCATTGGAAGATCAAGAAAAGACTACTTTCACATGTCCATTTGGTACTTTTGCATACCGAAGGATGCCTTTTGGATTATGCAATGCACTAGCCACGTTTCAAAGATGCATGCTCAGAATATTTAGTGATATGGTTGAACATTTTCTTAAGATACTTATGGATGATTTTTTTATTTTTGATGATACATTTTATAATTGTTTGACTAACTTAGAAAAGGTTTTAAGCAAGTGTGAAGAGCATAATCTTGTATTGAATTGAGAAAATGTCACTTTATGGTAATAAACTGCATTGTACTTGGTCACATTGTTTCATCAAAAGGAATTGAGGTTGACAGATCAAAAATCAAGTTAATTGCTAACTACCAACACCAAAATCTATTAAATATATTAGATCATTCTTAGGACATGTTGGTTTTTATAGAAGGTTCATCAAAGATTTTAGTATAATATCTAAGCCCTTAAGTAACATTCTAACAAACAATAATATTTTTAAATAGTCTTAAAGATGTTAGATCATTCCTGGGACATGCTGGTTTTTATAGAAGGTTTATCAAAGATTTTAGTATAATATCTAAGCCATTGTGTAACCTTCTAACAAAGGATAATGTTTTTGAATGGACTGAATATTGTGAAGAAGCCTTTGTTAAACTTAAAAACTTGCTTACTTGTGCTCCTATCATTCAACCTCCCGATTGGTCATTACCTTTTGAAATAATGTATAATGCTAATGATTATGTCATGGGTACTGTTTTAGGATAAAGAAAAGATAAGAAACCCTATGTGATTTATTATGCAAGTAAAACTTTAAATAGTGCTCAAATGAATTACACCACCACTGAAAAAGAATTACTTGTAGTAGTATTTGTATGTGAAAAATTCAAGTCTTATCTTATTGGCTCACCTATTGTTATTTTTAGTGATCATGCAGCATTGAAATATCTTTTTTTCTAGAAAAGATTCTAAGATTAGATTGGTGTAATGAATTTTGTTATTTCAAGAATTTGATATCAAAATCAAAGACAAGAAAGGCACAAAAAATATTGTTGCGAATCATTTATCAAGATTGATAACAGATTCAACAACTGATATCACACCAATCAATCACTACTTTCTTGATAAATCTTTACTTTCTGTCTCTACAATGCCTTGGTTTGCTAATATTGTCAATTTTCTTGTTTCAGGACAATTGCCAACTCATTGGAGTACCCAAGATAAAAGAAAGTTCTTAAACGAAGTGTTGGGATGACCCTAACTTATTCAAATATTATCCTGATCAAATATTTTAAAAATGCATTCCTGACAATAAGGTAAGTAGTGTCATTAAATTTTATCATTCTAAGGCATGCTGAGGTCATTTCTCATCAAGAAAGGCAACTGCAAAAATATTACAAAGTGGATTTTACTGGCTCACTGTTCAAGGACTTACATGCATTCTGCAAGACTTGTGAAAATTGTCAAAAGTTGGGATCTATTTAAAAACATCACATGATGCCCTTAAATCTTATTCTTGTTATTGAAATCTTTGACTGTTGGGGTATAGATTTCATGGGTCCATTTCCTCTATCATTTTGTTTCTTGTACATATTAGTCACAGTAAATTATGTTTCAAAATGGATAAAGGCAATTTCAAGTTGAAATAATGATCACAAAATAGTGATAAAGTTTTTGAAAGAAAATATTTTAAGTTGATTTGGAATCCCTCGAGCCATGATAAGTGATGGTGGAACATATTTTTGTAACAAGCCATTTGAATTCTTAATGAAAAAATATAGAATCACACATAAAGTTACTATCTTTTATTACCCTCAGACAAGTGGACAAGTAAAGCTTGCTAATAGGAAGATCAAATAGATCTTGGAGAAAACAGTGAACTCTAATAGGAAAACTGGTCTTTAACACTTAATGATGCATTTTGAGCTTATCGAACTGCTTATAAAACATTATTAGGTATGTCACTTTATAGACCAGTCTATGAAAAACCTTGTCACTTACTTATGGAACTTAAATATAAAGCTTATTGGGCTATTAAAGCTTTCAATTCAAATCTTGATGATGCTAGT